TCGTTTTCTCCAAAAGAGTACACAGGAACCAAGGATGCGCCTGCTCGGATTGCTTCTTTGATAAATCCTTTTCGAGACAGTAGCTTAAGCTTGTGCATTTTTGGGTGTGCGTCCAATGCCTCTTCAGCGCCCCCTAAAATGATATTCCAATGGAATTCGATTACAATCTATAGTTTGTTTCTTTGTTCAGATCCGCTGCTGTTTTCTGTCTTGGCCACAGTAATAGGCTAAGTGACTCGACCGAGCTCCGCCAAGCTACGCTGTATTCTAGCTTTATATAATCTTTTTTTTTGCATTTCATCAGGGGTATTTTCCTAATTTCCACCAAACTATGCTAGGAAAGGAAGAGGAGCTCTCAGTTTTAAAGGTAAAAAAATCAGTAAGACAATCTTTGTACTGTTGCGTGATAAAGCACCTGCTGGTCAAGCTCAGAAGAACAGACTGATACGACTATATTTTTCAGAATATAAAATTTAGTCGAAACATGGAATAACATAGAGTTTGCGGTTTTACCTACGACAATAACCACAGCCTTCCCTTCCTTCCTTCCAGAAAGAGCATTTCTGATACTCTCCTTAGAACAATCGATAAATCCAGAGAGCATGAGCAGTTCTCTTCTGCAACATACGAATTAAGTTAGCTTATAGCTGTGTATAAAAATAATTTGTACGCACCTAATCATAACATTGAAGTTAGAGGCTAGCGTACAGACCAAAAATCTTATGCCCGGGAACTGAAACAGATTGGAATTCGGTCATTCGTCAAAACAGGTTTCAAAACCATTCCCATGTTTGTATCTAAGGTAAACTCACCACCTCACTTTTATTAGTACCTTCTGTTGCAAAGTTTGCGTAGACACCCATTCCAATTATACCATGAGGATGACAACCGATAATGTAGTTCTAAAAATATATTATGTTAGGATTTATTCACATAAATAACTTTTGTTCTAACCTGGTCGGTTGGCAATTCGACGGTTTTATGAAGAAAAACAGGGAAATACTCTGCGAACCATTTGTTTACACGCCAGCTGAAATATGAAAGATGATTATTAACTTAGCAATCGTTCAAAAGGTTAGTCTAAGGTTAGCTTAGAAGACACACGGTAGAGTTACGTAACCCATGAGTAACTTTCTGCAGGAAAAAGTTGTAAAGCTTATCAGATTAACGGAATTATGTATGAGCTATCGTTAGCGGAAAATTTCAAGATCAACACATATGATGGACGACATGAAAAGGAGGTGATATCATAGTGCAGTAAAGGCCGAAGTTCTGCAGCTTAACACTAACCTCTGCACCCATTTACTTGGATAGGCACCATTTTGTGGAGATTTTCGGTCGTATAGATACCATAGGGTGTACAGTAGAAGAAGATGCCATCGATATGTGAGGATCTAAAAATAATTTATTTTTGTCTTTCTTCGAGGGTAACGTAGAAGTCATGGACAAATTATGCACACTTTTGAGTTGAGAAATGAGAAGAAATTTAATTGCCATAAAAGTTTCGAAGATCTTAAAGAACAATTGCGACATTTCTTAACGGTTCCATTGATAAGATGGAAATGAGCGAGTTGAAGACTAGGCTAGCTGTTACACTATGTATCGTATTTTAATGTTCACTCATCGAACATCTTTTTTCCTTTGTTCTATTACGACTTTAAAAAATGAACATACCAGAATAAATGGCAGAAGAAGACCAAGTAGTGTAAGTGGAAATGTAAGAACAATGTACATGATGACACCAAGAGTAACTATTTGCCGATCCCATGGGTCGGCCAAAGGCGAAAAGTCGATACCAAGAATTCGCTTCATTCTGAAAGAACCACAGTTCTGTATAAAATGTTACTCCGTTTTAGGATTATAGGGTGTTGAACAGCTGTAGCAGAATACTTTAGAAGGGAACTGTATCAAGAATACGATCATTTAGACTACAGAGTACTATTATCGACATGAGATCAGTGATGTTAAGGGTTGTGACACTCGCGAGGCCACGACAAGCACACACACACGTGAAAAGGCGCCCTTTATACTGCGTATAAGAGTGCAAGGACTAAACTCTAGCCTTGCACTCTAGTCACGCTCATATCACGATAAGACAATTGGCAACATACTAGATAAACTCTAACACTGGTCACTCCTAGACAGAGCACGAACCTATTATGGCTGTCAGATTCTAAAATTTGCTTTGAGAACCTTGCATGCTAGAAATTCGAAGTTCGACCAGATATATAAGAACAAAGGAATTCAGATTGCTGATTTTCTGTGGATCTATGGAGATAGTCAGTTCTGTAATGTAGCTCAGGTGTTCCTCTCAAGTTCATGTTAGGAACTATAAGGCACAAAGTAGTGGAGAGTTTTTAATGCACGTGATGCCCGAAAGCATGTGGTTTTTTTTGAATTCCCACTGAAAATTGATCCAAACTTTTCAGAAAACCTATAATAATCTTTTTCATGAAATCTTTGAAATTAACACTCATCTTACATAATTATGTGGCTGACCTCACGGTGAGCATCTGCTTTTGCAAAACAACATTAACAACTTCGAAAGGCCGTTACTGGCATCTTTTTTT